AGGGGTTATTTAACGAAAGCGAAAAAAAAAAAGGGTCAAAGGGCAGAAATCCAGAGCAACCACATTTCACCTTCTATCAGTGTGGAGCTGTCCCGGGAATCAGATGGTTGCTGGTAGCTGCACTTTGCATTTTGCCTTTTGCTGTGTTAAAGGGGTTGGGACAACTTCTGTAAAATCTGTAGCTCTGACCTATGGACAAGTGACGTATCCTTCTCACAAATTCTAAATTCTCTCCAAAACATTTTTCAGATGCATTATTATTTTCTCATTGTAGCACCCGATACACATAATTGTTTTATTCATTTATTATGCCCTTTTTATATTTTTTTATAAAATTATAAATATAAAAATATATACACACCCATCAGCCATAACATTATGACCACCCTCCTTATATTGAGTAGGTCCCCCTTCTCCTGACCCGTCCAGGCATGGACACCGCTAGAACTCTGGAGGTGTGCTGTGGTATCTGGCACCAAGCCGTCAGTAGCAGATCCTTTAAGCCCTGTAAGTTGTGAGGTGATCGGCCTCCATGGATCGGACTTGTTTTTCCAGCACATCCCACAGATGATCCATTGAATGGAGATCTGGAGAATTTGGAGGACAAGTCATCACCTCAAACTCGTTGTTGTGTTCCTCAAACCATTCTTCACCCATGTGTGCAGTGTGGCCAGGCGCATTATCCTGCTGAAAGAGGCCAATGCCATCAGGGAATACCGTGTCCATAAAGGGGGGGACTTGTTCAGCAACAATGTTCAGGTCGGTGGTACGTGTCAGAGTGACATCCACATGAATGGCCGGACCCGAGGTGTCCCAGCAGAATATTGCCCAAAGCTTCACACTGCCTCCGGCGGCTTGTCTTCTTCCCATAGTGCATCCTGGTGCCATCTCATCCCCAGATAAGTGACACACACATACCCGGCCATCCACATGATGATTCATCAGACCCGGCCACCTTCTTCCATTACTCCGTGGTCCAGTTCTGATGCTCACGTGCCCAGTGCAAGAGCTTTTGGTGGTGGACACGGGTCAGCATTGGCACCCTGACCAGTCTGCAGCTACACAGCCCCCCCATACACAAAAAACTGCGATACTCTGTGTTTTCAGAAACCTTTCTATCAGAACCAACATTCACTTTTCCAGCAATATGATCTATAGTAGCTCTTCTATTTGATGGGACTACATGGGCCGGTCTTCCCCCCCCCCCCCCACGTTAATCAATGAGCCTTTCCTCCCCATGACCCTGCCTGTCACTAGTTCACCAGTTTTTTCCTTCCTTGGACGACTTTTGGTCGGTCCTGACCACTGCAGACCGGGAACATCCCACAAGAGCTCATCACAAGACATCACAATTTGGTCCTTGCTCAAATCTTTACACTTGTCAATTTTTTTCTGCCTCCAACACATGAACTTCAGGGACAAAATGTTCACTTGCTGCCTAATATATCCCCCCCCACTTCCACATGTCATTGTAATATATCCCCCCACTTCCAGGTGTCATTGTAATATATCCCCCCCACTTCCAGGTGCAATTGTAATATATCCCCCCCCCCCCCCTTCCAGGTGCAATTGAAACAAACCCCCCCCCC